GTGTGTGTGTTGTGTGTGTGTCTCAGTGTGTGTGTGTGTGTCTGTGTGTGTGTGTCTCAGTGTGTGTGTGTCTCAGTGTGTGTGTGTGTGTCTCTGTGTGTGTGTCTCAGTGTTTGTGTGTGTGTGGTGTGTGTGTGTGTGTGTGTCTCAGTGTGTGTGTGTGTGTGTCTCAGTGTGTGTGTGTGTGTGTGTCTCATGTGTGTGTGTGTGTGTGTGTGTGTGTGTGTTTGTGTCAATCTGAAAACTAAACAAAATTAAACCTTCACATTTCAAATCTTCATGTTTTATTGAGTTTATTTGATCAAGAATCATGTCACAATGTTTTGGAAACTTTGTACTTACAGTGAGCAGAGGTCAGAGGTCACAGGGGGTCACAGGGGGTCACAGGGGGTCACAGGGGTCAGGGGGTCAGACACTATGAATTTGAAATGTGAACTTGTTTTGTATGTTTTTGGAAATAAATCACTCTTATTCACCTTGGGTGTGGTTTGTTGTTGAGCAGAGTGTTGTTGTTGTGTCCTTGAGCAAGACACTCCAGAAAACACAGGTTTGTCACAAAGGAAGAGAACGTTTTATTTCACTGTTTACAAAAGTGCAAAGGTCCAGAAGAAACGTCCACGGGTCGGTCCAGTCCGGGTCCAGATCCTGGTCCAGTCCGGGTCCAGTCCTGGTCCAGTCCGGGTCCAGTCCGGATCCAGTCCGGATCCAGTCCGGGTTCAGATGCTGGTCTAGTCCGGGTCCAGCCCAGGTTCAGTGCTGGTCCAGTCCGGGTCCAGTCCGGGTCCAGATCCTGGTCTAGTCCGGGTCCAGTCCGGGTTCAGATGCTGGTCAGTCCGGGTCCAGATCCAGTCCGGGTCCAGTCCGGGTTCAGATGCTGGTCTAGTCCGGGTCCAGTCCGGGTTCAGATGCTGGTCTAGTCCGGGTCCAGTCCGGGTTCAGATGCTGGTCTAGTCCGGGTCCAGTCCGGGTTCAGATGCTGGTCTAGTCCGGGTCCAGTCCGGGTTCAGATGCTGGTCTAGTCCTCGTCCTCCTCGTCGTCCTCCTCCTCCACGATGAGCCTGGTGCTGCGTCTCCTGGGTCTGTGGATCCGGTCTTCTTGGTCCTGGTCCGGTTCTGGTCTTGGTCCTGGTCCTGGGGCGGTCCCGGTCCCGGTCCCGGTCTGGTCCTGGTCTTCGTCCAGGTCGTCGTCTCTGTAGTTACACTTCCCGGTGTGACGCCTGAAGCCGTTCAGATTATCAGACCTGAAACCAACAAACACAAGACCCGGTTTAGTCCAGGTTCGGTCCAGGTCCAGGTCCAGGTTCAGTCTCGGTTCAGACTCACTTGAAGGAGCAGAAGAGGCACTGGTAGCGTCCGGGTTTGTGGCTGAACCTCAGATGTTCTTTGAGCTGGTAGGACATGAAGAAACTCTGTCCACACACGGAGCAGGAGAAACGTCTGGGCAGGTCATGAGCTCGCTCCAGGTGGTTCAGAGCGAAGCCTGCAGAGAAACCAAGAACATGAAGAACATGAAGAACACCTGAACACGAAGAACATGAAGAACACGAAGAACATGAACACGAAGAACATGAAGAATATGAAGAACACCAAGAACATGAAGAACATGAAGAACGAACACGAAGAACATGAACACGAAGAACATGAACACAAGAACATGAAGAACACGAAGAACATGAAGAACACGAAGAACATGAAGAACACGAAGAACATGAAGAAACACGAAGAACACGAAGAACATGAAGAACATGAAGAAGAACACGAAGAACATGAAGAACACGAAGAACATGAACACGAAGAACATGAAGAACACGAAGAACACGAAGAACACGAAGAACACGAGAGTCGGGACCACAGCTGGAGTTTGTCCTGACATAGACACGAGCCACAAATACAAGACAGAAACATCTACAGTGTCTAGGAAGTATTTACAGTAGTAGTAGTAGTAGTAGTAGTAGTAGTAGTAGTAGTAGTAGTAGTAGTAGTAGTAGTAGCAGTAGTAGTATTTTACTTTAGTACCTCGGGTTCCTCTGCGTATTTTGACCTTCCATCCGCAGAGTTCACACTCGACTCTGTTGCTATAGAAACGCAGGAGCTTCGTCGCCTCCAGCTCCTTCGTCATCGTCTGTGTCGTCACTTCCTCTTCCTCCTCCACGGGGGCGCTCTCGGCGGCGGGCTGGGATTGGTCGGGCTGCGGCGGCGGCGGCGGCGCGGCGACGTCGTAAAGATGACGAGGAGAGTCGTGTTTGCGAACAGCGTGATTCACGGCGACGGCGCGGAGTTTGTGCGACCAATCACAGAGCGAGCAGCGATACAACCCAGAAACACACCGCAGCAACGAGGGGGAGGAGTCAGGGGGCGGGAGGGAGAGTCAGGGGGCGGGAGGGAGGAGTCAGGGGGCAGGGGGCGGGGTCAGGGGGCACAGGGCTGAGGGGGAGGAGACAGTGAGAAGAAGAGTTCTGTGTTAATACTGAGGAACAGTTCAATCACACTCAAGGTCCAGACCGAGTCCAGACCTGAGTCCAGACCTGAGTCCAGACCGAGTCCAGACCTGAGTCTGGTTCTGGTTCTGGTTCTGGTTGTGGAGGTGATACAGATGTTAAGTCGTTGTAACATTTAAACTTTGAGCTTTGACGTGTTTCAGATTGAAACTTTTCTCCAGACAAAAGTTCAGATGTTTTTGTCTTTCACATGTTTCACTTTCAGAATCATGAACAGTGAGTGTGTTTACAGCACATCAAGAACCCGGTTATGATCGGGTTTTTTGAGGATCCCGGTTTCTTCATGGTGCATGTAAACGCAGTAACCTGGTTTCAGTGTCCCGGTTATTAGAAACCGAGTTACTGTAGCTGGTTTATTCCGATAGTAACTGTGATACTTGTGTCATGTAAACGCAGTATCCGGTTACTGCAACATAAAGTTGAGTCACATGTGTCCAAAAGACACTTTCCAGCCTTTCACCACAACAGTAGAGACATAAATAAAGTGACCAACATAAATAAAGTGACCAAACGAGTGAAATGACTGTAAAATTAAGAGCTGCGCTAAACCTGCACACGTACGACCTGCACACGTACGACCTGCACACGTACGACCTGCACACGTACGACCTGCACACGTACGACCTGCACTCGTACGACCTGCACTCGTGTGACGCTGAAAAGCTAAAACATGAACTATCTCCTATCCTCTATACGCACGAAACACACTCACCATCATCAGCACCTCTTCTGTCACAGAAACAACTCACATAATCCACAGAGTCGAGTCATTTAGTCCAAAAGAAACTGATCACATCAGCGACACAAGCAGCGAGTTGTTTTTATTCGCCGCTAACAGTTTATGCTAATTAGCCAAACGGTCTTAAGTTTTGTTTCTGTAAAACGTAAACAGATGTGATCAGAGTTGATTGATCTGATCAAACAGCTGATGTGTCTCTAGTGTTTATGGTTTATATGTTGTAAAGTTGAGTTTATTTATGCAGAAGATTTGAATGAAGAATCTGTGCAGTGGATTGTGGGTCTCGTAGCTCCTGAGCTTCTTATGCTAAAGCAGCTCACGGTTTGTGTTTTTCCTGGTTTATGAAATTGATTTAAGTTCATTTTTGCGCTTGTGCATTTGTAAGATTATGTGAAGAAACCGGGACACAACATTTGATCATGTTACTGATGTGCATGTAAACGCACTCGTTCTTCTGCTTTTTGTTCTGCTTTTTGTTCTTGTGTCTCAGTTCAGTTTCAGATTTGAGTTTCTGGAAACAAAGAATCAAACTCACAGTTTAAAAGTTTAAACTGTTTGTTTTTTACCTTTTCCTCTTCAGACTCGTCTTCATTTTGTCGTCTGTCTCCATCTTTTCATCTCCTTTACATTCTTCCTCTCCTCTGATGTCTCCTTCCTCCTTGTCTCCTCTGATGTCTCCTTCCTCCTTGTCTCCTCTGATGTCTCCTCTGATGTCTCCCTCCTCCTTGTCTCCTCTGATGTCTCCTTCCTCCTTGTCTCCTCTGATGTCTCCTTCCTCCTTGTCTCCTCTGATGTCTCCTTCCTCCTTGTCTCCTCTGATGTCTCCTCTGATGTCTCCTCTCTCCTTGTCTCCTTCCTCCTTGTCTCCTTCCTCCTTGTCTCCTTCCTCCTTGTCTCCTCTGTCCTCGTCTGTTTTTTGTCTCTCTCCGTCTGGGTTCTGCTCAAAACTGTCAGTCCTCAAGTCCTGGTTGGGTTCTGGTTTAGTCCCAGAGTCTTGGTTGAGTTCTGGGTTGGTCCCAGAGTCTTGGTTGGGTTCTGGGTTGGTCCCAGAGTCCTGGTTGAGTTCTGGGTTGGTCCCAAAGTCCTGGTTGAGTTCTGGGTTGGTCCCAAGTCCTGGTTGAGTTCTGGGTTGGTCCCAGAGTCCTGGTTGGGTTCTGGTTTAGTCCCAGAGTCCTGGTTGGGTTCTGGTTTAGTTCCAGAGTCCTGGTTGGGTTCTGGTTTAGTTCCAGAGTCCTGGTTGGGTTCTGGTTTAGTCCCAGAGTCCTTGGTTGGGTTCTGGTTTAGTTCCAGAGTCCTGGTTGGGTTCTGGTTTAGTTCCAGAGTCCTGGTTGGGTTCTGGTTTAGTCCCAGAGTCCTGGTTGGGTTCTGGTTTAGTTCCAGAGTCTTGGTTGGGTTCTGGTTTAGTCCCAGAGTCCTGGTTGGGTTCTGGTTTAGTTCCAGAGTTTAGTTCCAGAGTCCCTGGTTGGGTCTGGTTTAGTCCAGAGTCTGGTTTAGTCCCAGAGTCCTGGTTGGGTTCTGGTTTAGTCCCAGAGTCCTGGTTGGGTTCTGGTTTAGTTCCCAGAGTCCTGGTTGGGTTCTGGTTTAGTCCCAGAGTCCTGGTTGGGTTCTGGTTTAGTTCCAGAGTCCTGGTTGGGTTCTGGTTTAGTTCCAGAGTCCTGGTTGGGTTCTGGTTTAGTCCCAGAGTCCTGGTTGGGTTCTGGTTTAGTTCCAGAGTCCTGGTTGGGTTCTGGGTCTTTGGTCTGGTTTGGTTCGATGCAGTGAGTCCGGAGCAGATGCTGCCAAACCTGAAACACACAAACACACAACACACTGTGTGAAGTCCCTGTGGTGTGTGAGTATGTACCTGTGTGTATGTACCTGTGTGAAGTCTCTGTGTGTGTGTGTACCTGTGTGTATGTACCTGTGTGTGTATGTACCTGTGTGAAGTCCCGGTGTGTGTGTGTGTGTGTGTATGTACCTGTGTGTGTATGTACCTGTGTGAAGTCCCGGTGTGTGTAAGTACCTGTGTGAAGTCCCGGTGTGTGTGTGTACCTGTGTGAAGTCCCGGTGTGTGTGTGTATGTACCTGTGTGAAGTCCCGGTGTGTGTGTGTATGTACCTGTGTGTGTAACCTGTGTGAAGTCCCGGTGTGTGTGTGTGTGTGTGTGTAATGTACCTGTGTGTGTGTGTATGTACCTGTGTGAAGTCCCGGTGTGTGTGTGTGTGTGTACCTGTGTGTGTATGTACCTGTGTGAAGTCCCGGTGTGTGTGTGTGTATGTACCTGTGTGAAGTCCCGTGTGTGTGTGTGTGTGTGTATGTACCTGTGTGTGTATGTACCTGTGTGAAGTCCCGGTGTGTGTGTGTGTGTGTACCTGTGTGTGTATGTACCTGTGTGAAGTCCCGTGTGTGTGTGTGTATGTACCTGTGTGTGTATGTACCTGTGTGAAGTCCCGGTGTGTGTGTGTGTGTGTGTGTGTGTATGTACCTGTGTGTGTGTGTATGTACCTGTGTGAAGTCCCGGTGTGTGTGTGTGTATGTGTGTGTGTATGTACCTGTGTGTGTATGTACCTGTGTGAAGTCCCGGTGTGTGTGTGTGTATGTACCTGTGTGTGTATGTACCTGTGTGTGTGTATGTACCTGTGTGTGTGTATGTACCTGTGTGTGTATGTACCTGTGTGAAGTCCCGGTGTGTGTGTGTATGTACCTGTGTGTGTATGTACCTGTGTGTGTATGTACCTGTGTGTGTATGTACCTGTGTGAAGTCCCGGTGTGTGTGTGTATGTACCTGTGTGTGTGTGTATGTACCTGTGTGAAGTCCCGGTGTGTGTGTGTGTATGTGTGTACCTGTGTACCGTGTGTGTGTGTATGTACCTGTGTGAAGTCCCGGTGTGTGTGTGTGTGTACCTGTGTGTGTATGTACCTGTGTGAAGTCCCAGTGTGTGTGTGTATGTACCTGTGTGTGTATGTACCTGTGTGAAGTCCCGGTGTGTGTAGAAGCAGATGTTGCAGTGGAACAGTTTTCCTGAGCTCTGGTAGAGGAGGGCGGGGCCTAGACGTCCGGCGGCGGCGTCGTTCAGGAGGACGGGATGAGCCGTCGCCAGGTGCGACAGGTGGTGGGCGTGGCTCCTGCAGAAGGCTCCGCAGGTGAGACACTGCATGTGCGAGGCTCCGCCCACAAACTCACCTTTAGATGCCATCAGTCCTGAGGAGACACAGAGATTTAAAGCTTCAACACGGAACTTTTCTGCATCAGGAAAAAAGTCGTTAGTGTAGGATCATGTTCTAGAAACGCTCCAGAACATTCCAGAACATTCCAGAACATTCCAGAACGCTCCAGAATAGAATATGTTTATGCAGTGAGGAGATCCAGAAGCTCCTCCTGGACCAGAGCAGCAGAAGTTCTTCACCTTTTCGAGCTCCTGCTGATGTGTCGTCCTCCCTGTGCTCCTCCTCTGCTCCTCTCCTCCGTCGCTTAGGCCTCCTCGGCTTCTCTTGGTTCTCCTCACGCTTCATCTGCTCCTCCGGCCCTCTCCTCTTGGTCTCCTCCTCGCTCCTCGTCTGCTCGTCTCGCTGCTCCTCCTCCGCGGCCATCTGGTCCTGCAGCTCCTTGTAGACGTACGGATGCCTCCTCAGATGCCGGTGGAGTCTGGTGGTGAGGCCGTGGTGTCGGACCAGATCTCCGCAGATGGGGCACTTCGCCTGGTTTGTGTCCAGGAGCTCGAAATACGTCCAGATGAGGCTGCGCAGGTGTCGGCGTTCTCTTCGTTCTCGTCCCGCGTTCCTGCCTGAGAAAAACACCGCGTGTGAGGAACGTGTGAGGAGCGTGTGAGGAGCGTGTGAGTGAGGAACGTGTGAGGAGCGCGTGTGAGGAGCGTGTGAGGAGCGTGTGAGGAGAACGTGTGAGGAGCGTGTGAGGAACGTGTGAGGAGCGTGTGAGGAACGTGTGAGGAGTGTGAGGAACGTGTGAGGAGCGTGAGGAACGTGTGAGGAGCGTGTGAGGAACGCGTGAGGAACGCGTGAAGGAACGCGTGAGGAACGCGTGAGGAGCGTGAGGAACGCGTGAGGAACGAACGTGAGGAGCGTGAGGAACGCGTGAGGAACGTGTGAGGAGCGTGTGAGGAGCGCGTGAGGAACGCGTGAGGAGCGCGTGAGGAGCGTGAGGAACGTGTGACGTGTGAGAACGTGTGAGGAACGTGTGAGGAGCGTGTGAGAGGAGCGCGTGTGTGAGGAGCGTGAGCGTGAGGAGCGTGTGAGGAGCGTGAGGAGCGTGAGGAACGTGTGAAGGAGCGTGTGAGGAGCGTGTGAGGAACGTGTGAGGAGCGTGAGGAACGTGTGAGGAGCGCGTGAGGAGCGCGTGAGGAGCGCGTGAGGAGCGCGTGAGGAACGCGTGAGGAACGCGTGAGGAGCGCGTGAGGAGCGCGTGAGGAGCGTGTTGAGGAAGCGTGAAGGAACGTGTGAGGAGCGCGTGAGGAACGTGTGAGGAGCGTGAGGAACGCGTGAGGAACGTGTGAGGAACGTGTGAGGAACGTGTGAGGAGCGTGAGGAACGTGTGAGGAGCGTGTGAGGAGCGTGAGGAACGTGTGAGGAGCGTGAGGAACGTGTGAGGAGCGTGTGAGGAACGTGTGAGGAACGTGTGAGGAGCGTGTGAGGAACGTGTGAGGAACGTGTGAGGAGCGTGAGGAGCGTGTGAGGAACGTGTGAGGAGCGTGTGAGGAACGTGTGAGGAACGTGTGAGGAGGAGGAGCGTGTGAGGAACGTGTGAGGAGCGTGTGAGGAGCGTGTGAGGAGCGTGAGGAACGTGTGAGGAGCGTGTGAGGAACGTGTGAGGAACGTGTGAGGAGCGTGTGAGGAACGTGTGAGGAACGTGTGAGGAGCGTGTGAGGAACGTGTGAGGAACGTGTGAGGAACGTGTGAGGAACGTGTGAGGAACGTGTGAGGAGCGTGAGGAACGTGTGAGGAACGTGTGAGGAGCGTGAGGAGCGTGTGAGGAACGTGTGAGGAGCGTGAGGAGCGTGTGAGGAACGTGTGAGGAGGAACGTGTGAGGAGCGTGTGAGGAGCGTGTGAGGAGCGTGTGAGGAACGTGTGAGCTGATGTCATGTTCTTGTGTACCTCTTCTTCCTCTGTCCTCCTCCCTCCTCTCGTTCCACCTCTTCTCCTCCTCTCCGCTCCTTCGCAGCTCCTCCAGTCTCTTCTTCCCCTCGGCCCACTTCTCCTTCTCCTCCTTCTCCTCCTCCATCCTCCATTCCTCCAGCTCTCTCTTCCGCTCCTCCTCCAACCTCCACTCCTCCTGTCTGCTCCACTCCTCCAGCTCCCTCCTCTTCTCCTCCATCATCCTCTTCTTCTCCTTTTTCTCTCTCTCCTTCTGGGCCTCCTCCCTCCACTTGGCCACTCGTCTCTCGTTCCATCTCCTCTTCGCCTCTTCCTTCGTCAGCACCTCCTCCATCTTCTCCTCCTCCTTGTCGCCGTCTCTCTCCATCATGTCGTTCTTCAGGAGGTGTTCTGGCGTCGGGCTGGTCTCCTGGTGCTCCTCAGGGCAGGAGCAGATCTTTGAGGAGAGAGGAAGTGTGAGACAGAGACACAGAAGAAGAAGAAGAGGAGCAGATCTGTGGGGAAACATCAAACCGACTGTCGAAGAAAGTTTCAGTTTGACTCGATTCTGTTCAAAAGACTCGAGCGTCTGAAGTTACGATTCTGATTTTATTATCAACAACAAGAGACAGACTGTTGTGTGTCGTTGTGTGTCGGGTCGTTGTGTGTCGGGTCGTTGTGTGTGTCGTTGTGTGTCGTGTCGTTGTGTGTCGGGTCGTTGTGTGTCGGGTCGTTGTGTGTCGTTGTGTGTCGGGTCGTTGTGTGTCGGGTCGTTCGTTGTGTGTCGTGTGTGTCGTTGTGTGTCAGGTCGTTGTGTGTCGGTCGTTGTGTGTCGGGTCGTGTGTCGTTGTGTGTCGTTGTGTGTCGGGTCGTTGTGTGTCGGGTCGTGTGTGTCGGGTCGTTGTGTGTCGTTGTGTGTCAGGGTCGTTGTGTGTCGGGTCATTGTGTGTCGGGTCGTTGTGTGTCGGGTGTGTGTGTGTCGTTGTGTCGGGTGTCGGGTTGTTGTGTGTCGGTGTCGTTGTGTGTCGTGTGTGTGTCGTTGTTGTCGTGTCGTGTGTCGTGTCGTTGTGTGTTTGTGTTGGTGTTTTCAGGAGCAGGAAGTAACAATAATAAAATAAAAATAATGAAATAAAGTTGTGGATTTTCTTCAAACGGCACAAATGAAAAACAACACACACAACAACACACACACAACACACACACACACACACACACACACACACAACACACACACACAACAGTCTGTCACATTTTCTGCGGCTCTGCACGAGTTTTAATAGAAACAAGAGCAAAATAAAATATAAAAATAGATAAAATGAGCTTCAGCAAAGATCAACACAAACATAAAAAATAACACTTTTTCTTTTCTCATTTTTAATCAACAATAAATTAAAGCTCATTTCACGCTCGTCTGCAGAACCGTGTGCAGAACCGTGTGCAGAGCCGTGTGCAGAGCCATGTGTGTGTGTGTGTGTGTGTTGACAAACGGAGCTAACGGCTAACAGGCTAACTCCCAATAATCAAAGTGTTTCCCGCTCACCTGTGCCGCGTGTTTCTGGGGTTTAATCTGCGAAAACCTCCGACTGTGAAATCTGACCCCAAACACTGCGGGATTTAACGGTTTAAGGTTCAAATCCGGTTTTTTCTGGACACATTTGCGCTAAAGTGAAACAGTCCGTTCAACCCCCGCCAACT